ACACAAACACCCACAATAACAACAACAACAACAACAACAACAACAACAACAACATACACCGACATAGAGGTAGGTCACTTCGGAAATAGTAAGTTGATTTTCTTAAAGCAAGTGACGCTTCCACGATAACATGAGCAAAAGGGTTTCTTACAGTAAAATTAGAAATCATTCCAATAAAATTGTTTCGTTAAGTGTTCATTCTTCATTACAAGTATATAACAGCATAATCACTGGGCCACGTTTCATCTCCTAGAACATGAACGTAATTATTAGTGCCACTCAACTGTCGATTGCACTGTTGACTGCAGTTCTGTAGCGACAATCTTCCCTCCCATTTGTGATTGAAGGTTTCCGTGCGAATTCCTCACAGAATTGCCAATTAGTATTCATTTCAGACTGTCCAGATATACCTGTATAATCGAAAACATTAGTTTCCTCACTTGGGAGAAAGACCACCTACGGTTATTTCAGGTCCTTATTTAAATTACTGTTCGTCTTGTTTTGGCTCGCTCGCCTACCGGATATGTCGGAGGATTCCGAGGAACCTCGTGAAATTCCAGTTTCTAGAAGACGAAGACGCCCCTTCGAGTTCGAAGATCTCTACTCGGTGAGCCCAGAAATTCCTCCTCTTCAGAGCGAAGTGGTTGGCCTTGAGAGAGTGATAATACGAACGGAAGAGACGCATTCTTATACTCATTATTCTTAATTGACATGGGAAAACTCTTAAGAGTAAACAAATAGTGTCCTTGAACACGGAATGGAAAATTCTTATTTCAGGTAAACTTCGCTGACGGGCAAAAAAAAAAAAAATAGGATGCTTACATTAAGAAACCAACAAAAAACATAACCGCAAACCTTTTCCTAGAATTGAGTTGCCACAGATACTTCAATGTTACATTCCTTACATAACAGAATACTTACTGATCAAGCAATTATGTAAAAGAGTGGGGAATAATTTAGATGTCATGCTTGTCGTCTAGGTAGAATGAAGAGAAAATAAATGACTGTTTTTTTGAGGTAGATATTTTTCGGACAAAATATAAAATTTTGCCAATACCAAGCTCTTCATATGCATATTTTAATGTTTAAAACATAATTAAAACTATGAAATTTATATCTGCAAATATCTGTTTCAGTACACTTTAAATATTGTATGATCTTTCCCCATCCCAAATAAAATATCAAATTAATGTCATCGGAGAACAATCATGTAATTGCATATTTTCAGCTAGATAATTAGTATTAATATTTTCACCGAATTCAACATTTTTATTTCTTAGGAACAATGACAACATGCATATATGTAGGTTCAGAATATTTTTGGACTTAATATCTCAGGCGAGACAATGTAAAAAACAAAAGAAAGAACGAACCAAATACTGAGGAACCTTGTCCGTACAACTGGAGACCGCACTTCATTGAAGGTTAATGAATCTAATAATCGAATGGTCTAATGGTTATTGAATCTAATAATCTAATGATCTAATGGTTAATGAATCTAATAATCTAATGGTCTTATGGTTAATGAATCTAATAATCCAATGAATAATGATTCAAATAATTTGAATAGTTATGAAACGATTACAATATATTGTTTTAATAAATACGACGCTTTAGGCCTTCTCCCTGACAGCGACATGTCTAGTCGGCGGAGGCATAATTTCCGAGGCCTCCTGAGGCGCTGCACGCCAGGCCGCCTGTAATGCCGCTGGAGCGAGGAGTCCAATTTCAGTTGCATCTCCAGCGGGCCGTGGGAGCAATTTCAGGAATCTGAGCGCGGGCGGCGGCGGCGGCTGCGGCCCGAGGCGTTCGTGACGCCACGCCGCGCCGCGCCGCTTCATTCATGAGCCTTCCGCGCGCGCCGCGTGTTCCCGGCGTTTAGTCATTATCCGCAATTCGGAGGTTCGATTTTTAACATTCTCCGCCGCTCGGAATCTGCCGAGCGCACGCGCCGTGGCTGCGGCGGTGGAGACTGTGGCTTCTGCGACTGCCGACGCCTGGGAACGAGGCACACGTTCACGTGCTTACGCCTAATGACGATGTTAATTAACTGCGGAATGAGTGGGTACGTCCAATGTACGTGCAAACGTAATTCGTATTCAATTATGTTTTACATTCACATTGCTTATGTCGGCACACTGCTGCGAGGCTTCAGTACCATCCATTAATTTTGATGGTATGCCTGTGTTATTGTCTTTTTGAATCTTCCGTGGGAATTGTAGGCCGCCGAGGGATAATCAAGGTATCGAAATCAGTCCACCGAAAATCATCTCGGGGTCCCGCTACTAGAACGAGATGAATGTTGATTAGTGGATCGAGGCTTCAGGGTTCAGTTGCAATTTTGTTATGATCCTGTCTTTTACTTCCTTATTTCTTGCAATCGGAACAAAGATGAGAAAGCAGTGTTTGCCCCTCCGATTACCAAAAATTCGTTTTTCTTCGGATTTATATGAAATATTAATTGATTATTAATGAAAAAGAGTATGCATATTTTGTAACTGCAAGAAAAAGTTGCTCTGATATTAATGTAAACGTGTTCTTAGAAATTATAATTTCATGAGCTAAAAATTACACGACACGCGAAAATTATTGAGCAGTTCCCGACTAGACAATACACCCCTACTTTTACAGCAGTTTCCAAATGAATCGTCTCTCAAACCATTCTTTATTATCTAACGCATTTACATTTCCTCACATATCTTTGAGATGTTATGAACTATCGAAAACGTACAATGGGATGGCATTCCATCCACCACTCACATTCATCGTCTAAATAACAGTATTTTGGAAAGCTTTTCCAAAACACGAGAGTCCGCCAACAGTTCCGGAAGATCTCCGCAATTAGCCTCCCTCTCTATTCAAGCGCGTCTGGCCCAGGTATCGGGGAAGGAGGCCGTTGCGTAACTTGTGGTTAGGCAACGGAGGGCGGAGGAAACGCGGGCAGCCTCCGAGGCGGGGAACGAACCGTGAAACGGAATTAGGGAGGAACGGGGTGGACGCGGGCTGCGTGGCGGCGTGGCGACGGGGCGACGACGGGGCGACGACGGGGCGACGACGGGGCGACGACGGGGCGACGACGGAGCGCGCCGCTGGCCGCGAAGGACTTTCGCTGTCACACCGTCGCGCCGCCCGGTGGACTGAAGAGCGACCACCGCGCCGAGACACCTCGAGTCCGGGAGGCAGCGACACAAACTTTGAAGAGACCTAATTAATTTTTATTTTCCTAGATAGTTTTATTGCCAATGAAAGCTAAAACGAGAGTCAGCCATTCTACCTACGGGGTTGTCCGTTATAAAATGGGAAATTAACTAAATCACTTTTGTGTAGCTGCCTCCTGGACTAGAAGTTCTGGCAGCGTGTAAGCGTTCCAGACAGCTCTCTGGCCACGTGCTGTACTTTGCTAAAAACAGTTGATTTGCAAAAGTTTCGTTGTTCCCGTCGGCGTTAGCACTCATCTGGTAGTTGTTCAGTTCGATCGGAATGCCATTGGTTCCGTAGAATACTATAATTATTTTCAAAAGGTTTGAAATACAATAAAATATTGATTATAAGCCAAACATAATGCAAAAAAAAAGTTTCATTATAGGACTAACAAACTTAACGTAACACTTGGCTTTTTGACAATTTGTGCGTTAATAATTCTAACATGTTTCGTGTGTAAATCACTGCATACTTTTTCTCTGTGATTTTGAAACAAAACCACGTTAACTTAAAAAAATAAGCAAAATTACAACCGGGAAGATAAGCCTAAGACATTAAAAATATGCCCTGTTTTGTCATTATACATTTTTATTACTACAATCCAAATTTATGAAGAATTTTCATGTTCTGACAGATTCGGGTGTGACAATGCCATACATAAATATTTAATGACTTGTCTCATCTACAATATCTACATTTACACCATTTAATTCAGTATAACAGATTTCCTTTCGTTGATATCCTAAGTAAAAGAAAATAAATTTCGCCAGTTTCAAACCCAACAACCCTCTCACAAACAACACGTCCATTAAATCGCCGCATTTGTCCTAAAAGATGCAAGTACTATTAAGTAATATATTTCGCTTAGGTATTGAAGTGATAGGTTTCATTCGTCGTTATCGCCCGAACGCTTTCTGTCCCGCGGCGGGCCAGTGAGCGCCGGCAGTCAAGCTCGCAGCTCAAGGATGACTGCGGATCGCTCACCGCCGTCGCCGCCGCCGTAGAAAGCGAGCGCGCACAAGCGGCGCATCGCCGCTGACCCCGCGGAGCGACGCGGGCGGGAAATCGCGGTGCCGCCGCCCGGCCAGGCGACAGCGGCCGCGAAGAAAGCGGCGGCGGGGGGACAAAGGTCCCGGGACAGATGGCCCCCAGCCCCGCGCGTCTCTCACGTTCGCTTCCTGCCCGCCTGCCTGCCTGCCTGCTCGTCGGCTTTCGGAGGTCGGTGCTTTTTTTGTCGTACGCAACCAGGTGGAGGGGAGAGGGGAGGTACATAATTGATCGTCTCCAGCGGTTGCTACAGATTCCGCCGCGTGGCAGCTGTCCGAGGTTCGCGTCTCGGCGGAGGACTCGCGTTTGACACCCGGTCATTAGCCGAGGGAAATGAAACGAGCGGCTGGAGATGAATCCGAGGTCGCACGCCGGGAAGTTACCATGTTAACGGACCAGTCCGTCTTCTTTCCTCTCCCACTGCGTAGAGACGAGTGTGTGTGTGTGTGTGTGGGGGGGTAGAACACTCGTCACATGGAAGCTGCCCCAGGACTGCCTAAAGTGTCTATTGTTGTAGGCAGTTCCAACTCCCGTTGCAAAATATATCCCATCATTTTTATGAATCACGAAATCTGCGCGTCATTTGAAGTCACGAACGATCATCTCGTACGACGCTAATTGTCATGAAACCGGATACCATCTCTTACAACAACAGGACAACCATCTGGGGTACCATCTCTTACGCAGCAGCTTTACGTCAAGCAACGCCGCGATCTACGTTCTTAGTAGCACTTGCAGCAGCGCGGACTCACCTGGTCCCGCGGACAAAGACGAGAAAGACAGGAGCGCTGGAAGCCAGTTTGGAAACCAGTAGCGCCCGCGCAAGACGTCGACGCGGACGCAGGTGCAGGTGCACCCACTTCATGCTCCACCGGGCGCGGCGCAGCGCGCAAGTCGCCCCGCGCGCCGCGTTCACGCACTCAACGTCCTGCCGCCCGCCGGCCCGCGGCAGCCACTGCGCCAGCAAGCGTGTTGCTCCAGGCGACGAGGCGAGCAATCGATTGCTGACTGTGCTTCGAGGCCCCGTGCGAGTTTGAATGTTATTCTGAAATGAACAAGTTTGTAAAACTTGCGCAATAAAATAAATTCCTCGAGATACCAATATTTCGTTATTTAGGGTTAACGTGATAATCTGATTTCACGGAACACGTTATCGACGAGGAATCGATTGCAATGCAGTTCGAGGACCCGCGCAAGTTTGAACTTGATTGGAAAATGAACGCGCTTGTAAAGCATTGTGAAATAAAAGATATTAATCAAGATACCAATATGAGGTTTGATAATTTAGTTTTACAGAACTTCTTAATTCAGGTCTCGGGTCGTAATCTTTGATAGTAAATCGATTAGAACATTATTCCTGTTTTGTTTCTGTATACTAGCATAATGGTTCAAGTTTCGTTTTCTATAAATTGCAATGACTGCATTCATGCATTTTCTGAAGATAAACTCCTAATGATGATAATTATTTATAGAACATCTGCAGTATTTTTATATCAACACTGGTTATCAGATGACCTACATCTTCGTGCTCTAACTGCCAAATAGCATGTGTAACATTTTGTGTTTTTTACTCTTTAAATCACCAAGAACCATCTTCAAAACAATACATTCTGGATGAATTTTCGAGTCGCTTCATTTTCTTCCCATGTCACCAGGTCCCGCAATTTCCCTAGTGAGAGCAGCGCTTTGAACAAAGCGACGTATGTAAAAAAACGCAGTGACATCAAATTTCCACGACATGTAACCCATTTCTCATGTTTCTTATTCTATTAGTCTCAACATTCACCCTCAGACCAAAAAAAAAAAATGTTTTTGTTGCTTGGGATTGCTGGCGTTCAGGGTGCCCCGTGCCAAAACCCCACCGGCGGCGGCTGCTGACGTGCGATTCTCGCGGCAAGGCCGCCGGCAGGGGGCACGCCCCGCGGCCGCTAATGCTCGGCCATTAGCCGCAACTGCCGTAAAATGTGAAAGTCGTGTACGGCAGGAGACCGAAATGAGCGGCAGAAGCGCGGCCCGGCCGCGCCGTCGCCACAGAGAGAAACCCCACGGTGACCGACCGCCCCCTTATCACTCGTCACGGCCGCATGGCCCCGGCGCCGCCCCCGCGCCGCCTCCGCGCCGCCCCCGCACCGCACCGCACGCGCGCTGTTCGGAGACGCCCGAGTGGATCACGATCGCTTAGAGGAAGACGCGACGCCGCGCTAAGTGCCCCTCGGGGCTTTCTTTTCGCGGTCCTGGAAACGCGTTTTCCCTGTTCAGCCATTTTCGTGCAATGCTGGTTTTGACGTTGACGTGTCCATCGATTTTTGTGTCGACTTCCTTCACCTGGCTGCTCTTCAAGGACGTTGTTTCAAAGGAGCATTAAAAATATTTATTGATATATAATCAAATATATTCGTATAGAGTTTCTTTTCAATTATATTTCATTCTTCATTGACGTGATTTGTTTTATACAATTAAAAGTTAATAATGATGCGATTATAATAAAAAGCTGGTCATGAGAAAATATCGTTCGACGAATATTATTCCCATCTAACCTTTCTCTGTGGTGAGTTGGTTATGAAATTTCTCTGATTTATCAGATGTCATAAACGCGTATCTAGCAATGAGGTTGTTTTATAGAAAACGAATTTTTACTTTTCTTTCATCAAATTGTCAAATTATTTTATCTAAATTTCATATTCAATTAAAAGATTACAAATTATACGATTTTAGTAATGCGATGATCATGAGTTGAATATCGTTCCCGAAATCCTATCTAAAATATCTCTGTACGTGCAGAAACCAGTGTGGACATAGTACTTATCTAAAACAACAACTTTGAACTCGTTAGCGGTGAACTAAATACCAGCCGCAGAACCCAAACTTGTCCACAGCAACGCGAAAATCATGTATTTACTTCAACCTTCAAGTTAATTTCAGAATACGTGGCAATTACTGGTGCCTAGAAATCCAAAAGCAAAGTCAACTGACCTTGAAGCGAATCTTGCTGCCGCCGCGATCGCCCGACCAGCCCCAACACCGCATCGAATCCAACAGCAGCCGCAATTAGCGCGACCCGCAGTACTTGCGTCAGATCGCGGGTACTACTACGCCTATTAACTAGGCGGTTGCGCCAATCGGCCGGTGGGGCGCGCTGGGGCTAGATTAGAAGGTGAGCCGGTTGGCGGCGCCGGGCGCTCGCGGGCAGGTCGCAGCCAGCCAGCAGCAGCAGCAGAGAGGCAGCAGCAACCGCTGCCGCGTTGCCGACCGCTAGGCGGAAACGGTGCAGTTAGTAGACTCCGCAGCGCGGCCGGTTAGGGAGGATGGGGGGACGTGGATACGCGCGCGTACAGGTGCGGGCGGATGCGGCGGCGGCGGCAGCGGGCGCAAAAAGAGCGCATGCGCAAAGAGAGCGCGGCTAGATTAAATACGTATATCCTTCGAAAAGAGGCTGGATTAAATACATATATACATACATGGATGTACTGTACGCCGACCTGAATGGCCGACGTGGCTAAAGCGTGTGCCGACTAAGCGCCTCGGTCGGAAGGGGGCGGCTTCGAGTCCCACCGTGGGCATGGTTGTTTGGCCCTTGTCTTTCATGTGTGTGTGTTGTTGCGGAAGTCCTTGTGAGTCTGCTGACTACAGACCGAGGAGCCCACATGTGGGTCTAGTGTAAAAAAAAAAAAAGGTTCATGGGTCCTCATGAGGGACATAGTGGGTACCCAGCGCGGATAGCTGAAATCGGCATCATCTGAGGGTGGAGAAAGCCCCAGGAAGAAGAAAACACTAGATAAATGTATACCTAGGTGATACATACATATATATTGGGCGATTCAAATCCAATGGATTCCCAAGTTCGGGAGCAGGAAGGTCAGGTGTGTGTGTCATCCAATCGGGAACTTCGTTACGACTTAAATTTTTGATACTGAAGCTTCCGATTGGATGGCAGTGTACCCCTTTCCTTCCAGCTTGAGAAGTCAATACATTTAAATCGGACAATAGATAAGTCTTCTGTTGTTAGGGAATATTGGTAGTTAGAGGACAAGATAAAGGATAAGAGCCGAAATATGTACCTCTTTTGTTCATGTAAATGAACTTTTATATCATGGGACCTAATATTTTCTTTCATACCTTGTCAAAAACGCTCATTGCAACCCTTATTTATAATTAAACTTACTATACAATAAAAGTTACGGTAGGGTTTCAAAGCTTAAGATAACGTACTTGGATTCCACTTCATCATCATCTAATGTCACATAAACTCTCTAAGTTTTTGTTGGCGCTAAATAATAAATAAATCAGTAGTTGATCTCTCCTCAACTTTCATTCAATACTTCACACTTTCTTGTGGCTCACTAATAAAATATTTGTTTGGAGTTCTGTGGAGCACTTGCGTGGTTGCTTTCCACGTAGTAGGAAGTGGGGCCTAAATGAAGAGGCCACAGGATGTTCCAGCTGGCATATGATTAGATTATGGAATAGGCTAGTCGTTCTCTGCAAGGTGGGAGGTCTTTGCCACCCGGCGATAATGAAGAAGCTTAACCCTATATTCACGCGTTACTTTCTTCCTGTTGCGCCATAGACCAATTCTAGTCTTACGTTCTCACGCGCCTACACTTTAATTACTTACAGAGTCATACAGTCTTTGTTTACTTCGCAAACTAAACGATTGGTGAAATTGGTCTCCAAAACCTTTTTAAAGAACAATTGCTTGCGACGAAATATTTGTTGTAGGTTATTCAGGAGTGTTTTATTACTCTTCATTATAAAACTTTTTGGGTGTAGCAGTAATTGTTTCACAGTTTTCCACTGCAAAAAGACTATCCCGGACTCTGCATATAAATTTTCAGGATAAATTGTAACTTTATCTTACTGTTTAGGGTTTATTATTAGCGTTATATTCTTATTGTTTCGGAACGTGTATTAAGAAATACTAACGGATGCTCCCAGAGAGACCCTTCGCTTAACAACACATATCTTTATTCACAATATTAATTAACTGCAACAAAACTCCACCGCGTCTTCGAGAAAGGAATGTCTTAACAAGATTCTCATCTCGACATGCAAGGGTTATGTGGGAATTTCGACCCGTTTGCATGGGAAACGAAAGGGAAAAAATGCGATTTGCGTTTGGCGGCGACCACGTAGTAAATTGTAAAAAAAAAGAACCGTAAGAGAATTTCTGTTTGAGCATGAGAAGAGCTTCAAGTCGAGATCGGTCTGTCAGTGCGCTTTGTAGTTTCTGCGGTTACGTCTCCGTTTTGACATAAACTGGCGGTGCGGGTAATTTTTATCCACGCCGTTACATGGGAAGGTCTTTCGTGGTAATTTCTTCAAGTCGCAGCATGGGAACATCGGGAAATTCAGATCTAAAGCGATCCACAACTTGAAAGGGGGAACGAAATTGCTTTGCATGGTGATGAGCATGACCTCGGCACATCCTGACTCTGATGTGCAAAATAAAATGTCTTCCGTTAAAACTCGTCGACCTTTTCAGAGTAGTAATGGCTCTGTACAATTCTTTTAGTTATGTAAAATTAAATAGTTGGAGATCAGATCTTTGTACAGGTAAAAAAAACACGCACGTTTTCCTCATAAGATTTTCAGGTACTAGGCCAGAAAAAATAGAATAGTTCGGCGTTAAAGCTATACAAATTTTGTATTGAATTATATCATGCATTTCGACTTCTGATAATAAAACAATATTTTCCATAGTTTTAAGTTTCATTAGATCAGGTAAATAGATTGAAAAAATCGAATCTAAAACAGCTTTCTAAAATATCAAAATAAGACATTCACTATATTGGAAGCAGAAAGAAGTGAAGAGTAAGGTGCATTGTTACATTTTAATGTCATTAAAAGTCGACCTCAATTTTCATTAATCTTGGTGTGCTTGGTGGTGGCGGTGGTATTGGTGGTTATCGATGAAAAGTTTGGT